TTGTTGAAAAGGACGAGAAGGATATGTATGAAGAATGAGTGCATCAAAAGCATAACGATATGACGAACTAAGCCGAGCGATTTCTAAATATTTCATAACTTCCTCATTTTTAGCTTCCAGCGGGTATGAGTCAAAGAACTTTGTTGGAAGTGTAGCATAATTGTAGACATCAAAAAAAAAAAATAGAACTTACCATTTTGTAGATGTATGTATGTATGATGAAGAATTGAAGAATGATTTTAGAAATGCCTGTAAAATGCAGTCTGCAGCTGGTTTAAATAATGTGGGCGTTTATTATATATATATTTTTTTTTTGCAAATACTTTTTAATTAGTTGACACTCACTAAACGTTTTATGTTTTTTATTAAGTGCGTAAATACAATTCTGAGACGCAAAACTGGGTTTTTGGTAAACAATCTTTAGAGCCGCGTATCTTTATATGAACGTACTACATAAGTTTGTTATTTTATGATTTTTTTTTAATGTTTCGGTACTTTCCAACGTTCGATAGCAAAGTTTTAACAAAAAATACAATAGTTTTTTATATTATACGCTGTTATTTGCACTCATTTTCGTTTGTTCACTTATCTGTCGACACAGCGAAACCCTTTCCGATTATTTCACTGATAAACAGTCGTTAAATATACCGTTTACTAATTAATAGAACGTTTTTTATGTTTACTGTTTCTATTGCAAAATAGAAAAAGTCACTTAATTTCACGGCGTTCCGCAACCTTTGCTAGTTGCAACCTGCTGGCCTCAACATCCAATCGTATCTATGCCGCTTTTAGTAGGTTTTGTAGTTTTTATTATGTGTGTTCTTATTTGAATGGGTTTGAGCAGCCGACTAGAACGTATGTACATGCGTATATATGTATGTATATACATACATATGTACCTGTATGCATATGTACATATATGAGATATTAAGTAACAAAAAACAGAGGGGTGGTTGTGCCATTGGTAATAGTATGGAGTGGCAAAAGTGGCGATTGTAGAGATGGTGGCTCACTGCCTACAATTGAATATTCATGATGAGCGCATTTAAATGTGCGTACTATAAACTATTTTACTTATATAATGTATGTATGGATGGATGTATGTTTGCTATGTACCTCCAATTAGTATACATTTTGAATTTGCATTAAACGAGAGCAGTCCAGAGCTTTTTCGCTTTGCACGCGTGCCGGTTCGCTGATTCTTGTTTTTATTTATTTCGAAATTCACTGCATTACTGCCGTTTACACCCAAAGAATGTACCCACTTTCTCATCTACGAACATTGGCGATTTTTTTTTTTTTGGTCAGTTCTCATTTCCGAGGGAAACTAGAATTGCCAATAGGCACACAATCATTATTGCGTTGCCCAAATAAATTCTCTTTATATTTTACAACTTATTATAAGAAAGAACTTTATTATTTTTAAGGATTTTCCCACTATAAATAAAAAGAAGTACCGCTTATAAAAGTGCCGGAGTATTTATTACACCGTGCGACAAAAACAAAAAAATTCGAAACACGAAGTAATCAATATACAACTGTGGGCCAAATATAGTAAAACTGCGCTTTTAGTTTTTCATTCTGGCGTCAAGATGTTTTTTAAATGGACTTTGTAGTATCAAAGATATGATTAATTCTAAAAATTATTTAAAAAATTCAGTGAAATATAAAATAAATACGGGTACCAAATGGAAGCGAAAATTCTGCTAAATTAAAAAATAGAATTTTGTGGTTAGCAAGGGCGAATAGGTATTAAAAATGCCTTTTAATTTAATTTTTGTAAGCTAATAAAGTAAGAAGGATGAATTTCGAGGATGTGGTCATAATTTTTTCAAAAATATCTATCACAAAAATTCCAGGATATCGAAGGATAAAATTTTAAAATGACATTTTCAATGCCTAATCGTCCTTATGCACCAAAAAAAATTTAACCGGCTGTAATTCTACAGAATATTTCCTTTAATTTGATACCCATACCGGGTTTCAACATTGCACTGAACTTTTTTTTAATTTGTCTGAAGAAATCATATTTTTCAAACTTCAAAGTACTTTAAAGAAATCCTAACATCAGAGAGAAAAACTGTAAATGCGAATATACCCATGTATATATTTACAATTTTGTGCGATCTTTTAATTATCATGAAATACGTGAAATCAATTTTCTTCGCAAAAATTTGTAATAAGCAAATACAGTTTGCTAAATTTCTTAAGAGCGCAATGCTTTTGACTATTGTATTTAATCAGTCGTCAGTTTAGACTCTGAAATACACTTTTTATAAAATAAATATGTATATACAGATGCGTGCAACTAATTAGCAACGAAATTCAAAACGATATTGCTTGCAAATTATGTTTATTTATTTATTTTTAATAATTTTAATTTAAAATATAATTCAATCTATATCAGAAACCACAATAACAAAAGTTGCAAAGCTTGAACAAATTGCAAAAAAAAATAATCAAACTTCAAAAAATTGCCATCAAAATTTTTTTTAGAATTTTTTTTGTCGAGGGTGTTGCGGATTTTTTTCCATGTATAAAAATATTTTGATCATGTGTTACATGGAAAAAATGCGCAACACCCTCCACAAAAAAAATTCTAAAAAATCAACGGTAATTTTTAGCGACTTGAAACTTGCACTTTATTATACCTAAATTGAATGGGCTACAAAACTGCATACCCGAAAATATTCTAAATATTCTAATTAAAAATTTTGAAATTTTGATGACAATTTTTTGAAGTTTGATTAATTTTTTTGCAATTTGTGCAAGCTTTGCAACTTTTATTATTGTGGTTTCTGATATAGATTGAATTATATTTTAAATGAAAATTATTACAAATAAATAAATAAACATAATTTGCAAGCAATATCGTTTTGAATTTCGTTGCTAATTAGTTGCACGCATCTGTACATATGTAAGTAACCAAGAAAATAATTTAGATGGGCCTTCTTAAAGTCATTTTAAAAGACGTACCCAAGAAGTGCTGAAAAGGGGGCTTCCTAGCATGCCTTCTATTTACAATTGTGTGTTAGTTATATTATTAAGCATTACAAATAAATTTAGGTATGCATTTTAGATTCCGATAATACATATTTGATAATATCATATTATGAACCTTAAATAAATACCTCCAAGGAGTATGATATTTATGAATTAAGGAAGCAGCTTTTTAAAAGCTACTCCAAAAGGCCTTTTGAAATACGTCCTACAAAAGACCTTCCAGAAGTCCTTCTATGTGTAGTGAAAGCAGAATGTCTTCAATTTGTGTCACTACATACAAAAAAGAAAGGAATGCAGATTGGAAGGCCTCTTGACTCTCAAGAAAGCGTTTCGGAAGGGCTTTTAGCTCCTGAAATGACCTCCTGGGAGTAAATATCTATATATGCATGTAAGTATTTCCATATATTAGAACTATTATCTAGCCCCTACCTTATTTGTTTCCTTGTTTGGCTGTTTCCAAATTCGTTTTATCAATATTTTCTGTCAGAAGTCTTATCTTTAAATGCCTTTCAATTAATTCTGCGGGACAGTCAATATAATCTATCCCGAAAATATTAATCGCGGGTAGATACGTTTTTTGCAAGTTCTCCAATTTTTCTTTTCTTTCAATTTTATTGCAATCCTTTGAAAATTCCAATGCACCTCGGGGGGGTCAGTGGCACCCAGTTATCACGTGAACTAATTGGATTCCACAGCACAACTTCACCAACAACTTCACAATAAAGGCCAATTTTTAATTCCACATCCCAAGTGACAAATTTGAAAAGCCGTAAACATGCTGAGCCTTCAGGCAAGGTATACTTCCTGTGGATTATAAAAAATATAGAAGTAAAGCTACTTTAGCAGAACTAAATTTATTAAAAACCTCGGTAAATATGGCAGTTTAATGTTTTCCAATATAAGGTATCCGTCCTGGTGGTGGCTCAGCTTGCCGATTACTGTGCAACGTCCTTGATGAAGTCGTGGAAAGTTTCGTTCCAGCGCCAGTTCCTCCACCAAAAGAAACTTGTTATAAAAGCAGTATTCAGGTAATTCTAAAACGTCAGCTGTTTCACTTAATTCACTTTTCTCCCCTTCATAACCATCAAGCATTATAATTAATAATTCCACGCATTCATTTAGTAAAGTTCTCCTAAAATTAATATTTTGCAAACAGAAATAAATAACACCAAATGCCATAAACAGAGGTTGCAGCGATTAATCATTTGATTAAATTAATCGATTATTTTCGTTCAATTTAAGATTAGGGTGTGTATCATGAACAAACGACTCAAGATTTTAGTCAAGAGATTTGACCAAGCAAGAAAAAAGCTGAAAATAGTTGCAACTAGGAAAATACATAAGGACTGTTAACCTGGCAGCGTAAGGGCTAAACGAAAGTTCCTGGCCAGAAAAGGAACCTGCGATAAGGAAGTTGTGGCATGCGTCGTCACGCAAGCGAGAAAACGGCCGGTTACAAAAACAGTGGCCTCTCGTATGTAAAACTGTCATACCTAAACAAAACCGTTAAGGCCCGTTTACATACAACTTTGGCGTTGCGTTGGCGTTGGCGTTGGTTTGACAGAACGCACGTTAAAAGTATGCTTGCTACAATGAACGCTTGGCGGCGAATCCTTGGGCCACTAAATTAACATATTAACGACAGATAAATTAATATTTCATATCAATAATTGCATTAAAAACGATATTTCTTGCCCGCACTTGATTAAAAAGGAAAAATATTTCACATAATTTTATTTATTCGCAACAGCTGACGAGCGACGCACGCGAAAAGTTGAGAGTTGGCCATCTTTTTGCTTTGTGTTGGCGTGAGCGTTGTCGAATTTTGGCTATGTGGACGGCTGCATTTGAATTCATGTATTCATAGTCAGCTGTTGAAGCGACGCCAACGCCAACGCAACGCCAAAGTTCTATGTAAACGGGCCTTTAGGCAGAGCGTTTTCTGTAGCGTCAACGTCGAAATGCTATACCTAAACAAAAGCGCCAAATGCAGAAATAACGCCAACAAAAAGCATGGGCTTTTTTGTGTGATATACGAAAATAGTTTCGCCGTTTTCTTCACTTCCTAACGCCCTGTCAAAATCGGATTTTCCAACCGCTGAGCGTTGACGGCGCGTTATTTCGGAAAGTTTCATACAAATTGTATGGCCAAGAGAAACTTTTACAGCCTGACAACGCTGATGCTTTTGTTTAGGTATGGCATAAAGTGTTGGTTTAGACTTATCGATTTATCGAGGTTGCCATGTTATACTGTGTTCACAGGAGTTGGCCTCGCAAATGGGGATAATGCAGCGTTTTTGCTGCATTTAAAATGCAACATTTAGCACTTTCGAACATATGTTTTCGAAGAGCGTTCATGCTATAGCATTTAGCAAATGTACATTTACGCGAGTTCGAAATCGTATGCTTTTGACAAACAGCCGTGTTCCAGTCTCTTATTTAGATGCGTATATATTACGATCAATTCTCACGCAGAAGATAATGTGCAAAAACCCTACTGAAAAGGAAAAAATAAATTTTAAACCAAAAATTCAATACAAAAACTTGAATTGTTTTAACCATAAACGAAGATTTGTTTGTGTATATATTTATTTGTCGGTACATTCAATTAAAATTTCCTCACTTAATTAGGAAACAAACCAAACAGAGTTGATCACAAATTGATCCAGATTTCTATCAGTATCAAATCGATGTTGAATTTGCTTAACTTTTCTTTATCCAAATATGTAATGCAAAATAAAAGAAATCTCGATCGGCGATGTATACTCGAAAAAGCAATGTTGCCACTTTTTCTCTTTAAACCATGTTTGAATCGTGGAAATTTTGGAAGATCACAGGGTTGCTTTTAGCATTTAGATTCTTAATGCAAAAATGTAGTTGCATTTAGTTGCATTTAGGTGACGAATTTTGTATGGATAAATGTACATTAAGAGTAGCATTTAGAGTAGCATTTAGAGCTAAATGCGCTAAATGTGCTTTTACGCGTAAGCAAAAACAGCCTATAATCTACTTATATGTAAATCTAGTATATGCCCCAAGACGAATTTATACAAGGTGGTGTTACTGGCGAATTTAGATTTTCGCCGCGGTACTTCTTAATGTCAAAATGGTATGTTTGTTGTCACGGTGCAGCGAACAAAGGTGGCGCCGTCAGTGGTACCGCTACTTTGGTTTTGCCGATTTTGACAGTTGTGGTAACTTGTAAATAAACCTTTGTTTACAAATCAGCGGAAGAGAAATATGAATTATAAGTGAAAAATCAGTTTAAATTGTGTTAATTTGCAATTTGTGAGTGATTTTTGTGTTGAAGACTGCGTAAAAACTAATACAATGAAGTGATGTGTGTTAAATTGCGACAGCCGTCAAGATGCAAGAAGCGTAGATGCAAGTGTAGCGTTAGGACGAATCGCTGCATTTTCTGTTTCTCTATTATTATATTAACAGCATTTCCTCACAATGATTTAGTTTCTGCTCCACGCAGCCTCTATTAGCAAGTTAACTAATCAATCCCGCAAAGATGCTGCTGCATTTTTCTGCAGCAGCCTTAATTGCAAAGCAATGGAGTGTACTAAAACGTTTGCTGAAGCAGCCTCAATTGCAAAGCAATGGAGTGCACTAAAATGTTCACTGTTCTCTAATAGATTAGATGAAAAATGCAATATTTTCGCATTTAGCAAAATTAAAACACGTTTTTCGCTGTAAAGTGAACTGCTTTGGCAGTTTCAACTCGTTCTTCTTTTCGCTCTATTCTTTGTTTACTTGTGGTACACAAATGTCAACGCCCAGGACGGCGCAATCTTGTATTCTATCATTCTTGGTTTGTTGTAATATGAATTTGCCTTGTTTATAACAAACACATCATTTTGACATTAAGAAGTACCGCGACGAAATCTAAATTCGCCATTAACACCACCTTGTATAAATTCGCCTTGATATGCCCATTGTAAAAGCTACAAAACTAAGGCTTTCTGCACATTGGTCGTCCCATCATAGTTGCTTCGTTGTCACAATAATGATGCAACGATTACATGACGAATACACTTTCGTACACTCGGTCGTGGTATTTCAGTACATTTGGCGTCTAAAAATTCGCTTAGAGCAGGTATTTTCTGTTTTTTGGTTGATATTTTCCCGAAATGGTTACAAATCCTGCAACTTTATAATTATGAACTTTACATTTACCTCTCTTCTTTTATTTTTCTGAAATGTGTTTTGTCCACGCAATCAAAAGACTGTTAATAATTTCGTCATATTTTATAGTTAAAACTCTCACATTTATTTTGAATTTTATTGCAATTATCCACTTTTTACTAATTTCCACAGATTTAATGCAAGAAAGTAATGCAAATATTAACTTTTTACTAATTTTCCCCATAAAATGTAAACAAATAATCCATGTATAACGCTTAGCAAACGACAGTGTCGTACTTATCCTAGGGATGTTGGAAAAACATCGAAAATATCGATGTTTTGCTTAGATGTATAAATAGTCGATGTATCGATGTTTTTTAAAAACTGACATTTCCGGTTTATTGAACCGTCATTCCAGTTTTTCAATTGTTCAAAAAAGAGAAGTGACTTTGACCAAAAAATTTAAATGTCTGCAAGAAGGTCAGTTGCAGTGATTTATTTCAAATTTTCTACAATTTTGCTATGTAACATATTTTGTTGTGAAACGTTATCTGAAAAATTCTATGCAACTCGATGCACCGATGTATGCCCTTCGGTGCATCGAAAAATATCGATGTATATTTGCCACTGATATTCCTAACTTATTCGTTTCTACAAGAAAGAAGAAAAACATCGATGTATTTGCCACTGGTATTCCTAACTGCACGTCTATAACTGCGCTCTGGCGCTCGCATACGAACTGTCAGTTTTATCGCATGCGAAATCTTATCGCTCGGCTGTGCTCGGCTCAAAATTTCCGGACGGGACGATGTGTGTGTTATAAAACATACATTTTTGTTCCTATGTAACTCATCTCTTACTACCGAACTAGTTCAGTTAGGTGAACTATAGTTCAATAAGGTGAACGAACAAAGAATCAGAAGAGCTAATTCATTGAGCTGAATGAACTAGAAGTGGGCTAATCTTTAAAGTGGACCCAAAAATCAAACTATAATTTATATGTAAAAAAACTTTTAGAATTAAAAAACATTGCTGTAGTTTTGCTTTCAGTCCGATTTTTCGTTCAATTTAGTACTGGATCGATTTTCAGTAGTCCGAACGCTGGCATAGGGTGCCTCATAGTACATATGAATGAATGTGAATTTGAGAATTTGTGTGCATCAATGATTTACGACTAGTTTTAGTTCTACCATATTAACATAACAAATTTACCAGAATTAAGTTTTGTATTAGAAAAAATAACACATTTGAATTCATATTTCTTGGAAACAAAAAAATTGAAAGTAAAATTTTGCATTCCGATTTTCGAAAGACCGCCCTGTAAAACGACACTAAACATAGCCATTTATTCGAGCATTTGCAAAAGAGAATGGCGATAATCGATGCAACTCTGCAGGCGAAAATTTGGAAGAAGTGGCTGAAATTAGAGCTGGTATACTATCAATAGTACCGCCCCTCGATAGTTGAAAACATCGATATTACTATCGTCGTGAAAGGTATTGGATTGACACGCTCAGTTGCTTGAAAATTAAATGATTAATAAATTTATAAAATTTATAAATTATTTTGTAAATTAAAGAGATTGTATAATTTTTTTTTTTAATTTGAGTGCATGAATCAAACTTATTAATTTATGCGTCAGAATTATATAACTTATATACATACACTTGCATCCCCTTGGATAGCGACAGGCAAAATCTGAATATATTTTTTATATGGCAAAATTAAATTCGTATTTTGTTTGCCCCTTTTGTTGTGCAAAGTGAAATTGGCTATAAAAAAAACATTTATAATACTATAAAAAAAAAAATAAATAAAAATAAAAGACATTCGTTTAAATTGAAAACTCATACTTGTAAAAGTTCAACTGAGATCAAATACAGAGGCGCATATCAAAATCCGGAAAAGGGAGGTTATTTTACCATATTAAAAGAAAACGAATATAGTACTGCTCAAAATAAAAGCACAACAACATTTTTTAGCACTTTTGACTATTTTTTTGTTTATTTAGTGTCTACTAATTTTTTATAAAAGTTGTACAAAAAATAAAAAACTACAAAATAATTAAA